GCCGTTCATTTTATCTTTTAATTATACTGTTTTTTCACTTTTTTAATTTTTTAACATTCTCAAAAAATATTTTACTCAAATTAAACTCGAAAAATTTTTATATGCGATTTTTTTTTTTAATCAGTTAAGTGTAATAAAATTGTGGAAAAACTGAAATTTTTAATAATTAATAAAATTAATAGGGAGGACACCTACCCGTGGATTAATTACAGCTGATTAATATATTAATATCCGCTTTTTGTTGAACTCTCATTCAATTATTTATTGACATCGCTATTGTTTCGGTGGATTCCTCAAGTGACATTCAATATATTCTCAGTAAATTCGCATAGATAGAAGAGCAAACAACTCATGATGGTATCGATTATTGATAACGATTATAATTTTTTAAGGTACACATATTTTGAGTTGAGGTTGAGCAGAAAAGAGATTGAATCCCCAGAAAAATGTGACACTTCCGGGATTTCCGTTTAAACCCCGCAGATTAGATAATCTGCCTTCCGAGGATTTTGAAAAACACTCGGGTGGTTTACTCGACTCACTCATAGAGATGAGTAATTAACATCACAGTACCGTGAATATTTATTCATCTGGGTCAATATCATGTGTCGTGAGTAATTTACGTCGACGATCCCCTGAAAATTCATTGAATGCCACTACCTCATCGCACATTCGCCGATATCTGACTCACGTAATTCCTCCGGATCGATGAGTCTACACCGCGATTAGATAAGCGAAGGTAAAAATGATAATACGACGAAAAATAATCCGTGGGTCCTTATCGCCTTAGAAAATTAGCGTAGTGCATTCTTAAAACTATCAATTTCCCGGATTTATCATATGAAAGAGTAGTTACGGAAAATTATAATTTTCATGCATGGAAAACTGAAAATCTCGTGTATATAGCAGAAAGGCTTCCATTATATATTTTTTATTTACATATTTATGTCTGTATTTTTCAAGGGAATGTGAAAGAGAATTTTACATCTTTTTCCCGTCAATCAGGATTATTCTTGACGATTCTTGTCGTTAGAATAAAATCGAGTGTAATTTGCTGGACAATTGGAAAACATTCTTTGACAATGTAGAAGAGAAGAAGTCGATGAGATCGGTAAAATGCGGCTTATTAAAATTCCGAAGATCTCTGTCCCTCGGGATCACCTGATAGTCTTTCTATCCCACGGAATTATGGAATAACAATCGTAAATAACGCGTTCATTGAATTTCGAAGGTTCGGAATGCTCGGATTTTATTCGATCTAGACATATCAGTGTCTCACACTGTGATTTTCCAATCACAACTCGCGCGACGTTTATTACCGTTTAAAGGGAAAATACGAACCAGATATCGCGTTTCATTTGCACACGGAGTTTCAATTAACGATTCATCCCACGTAAAATATCTTGTCGACACGTGTTCACTAACGTAACTAGGATTTAATTTTTTCTGTTGCATATTTATTTTTATGTGGAACGTTATGTCAGAGGGGTGCAACTGGTATTTTCATAAATGAAAGGCGTTCTCAACGAGAAATGGAGGATCGATACACGATTTTATTTCGATTCCTCTTCCCCTCGTAAAATATTTTACTCGAGTGGGAATTCCCCCATGCAACCGGTTTAATAAAAGCAGAGAACAAAAACCTCGAATTTTCGGAAAATCTGCCTTAAATTCAGTCCTGGGAATTTTCGAAATTTATCCTTTTTTTAGAACATTTATTTTTCATTTGTATTATGTTTTCTTTGATGATTCATACCCTGGAATTCGACGGAGGGAAATTTACTTGTTATTTATATTTTTTTTTACATGGAACTTTTGATAACATCAGTAGCAAATACCGATTTTTTTTCACCGAAGCCTGAGCGAGTGTCGATTATTCTAAATTTGATTGTAATTTTTATGTTAATGTTAACGGCATGTGGCCTCGGTTAAATAGCGTATCGGTAAGTAAAATCGGGAGAATAGTGAATGGTGAAGTCACGACGGGGTGGCCCTGCCCAGATTATAAATTTTTCACTAATTTTTTAAAAACAATTCCCATCTTGAGTTCGAAGGAATCGATTCCCCTCTAATTCAAATGGAATTTCTCAATAATTTTTTCAATATCCTTTTTTTTTCTTTCCAATACGATTTTTTTTTCTTTCCAATGAAACATTAAAGAAAAGATAATTCGAAATATTGATGTATTAACTGTTGTGCAGACAATACGATTTTTTCAGAAATTGTTTAAGCCGCATGTGCGTGCCATCGCCTTCGCGGATAATTGAATCCATTGGCGATTTCAATTTCCTCTTTACCATTCTTTTTCCATAAATCACTCGTAATTCTTTTCATGTGCCCCCATGTCAGTAAATCATCGCCTCCAGTCAATCACCTCCGGTTAAAAATAGAATTCAAACATCTCGTGAACTTCGCGAAATGCACGACCGCGTGCCACAGCGTCTGGACGAAATTGCCTCCCACAGTTCATTATATTTCATCGTCAACCAGGTGTGAGAATGTATTTTACACCTGCGCCGGAAAAGAAAATAGCCTTTCTTGAGGCCCTGCGATTTGGCGTGGTAAGAAAATAAAGAGAAAAGAAAAAAACATAAGTAGATTCTCCGCAGAGAGTGTGAGAGATTTCTGCGGTTCAATTCTACATATTTATTCAATATAATATACCGTTGAGTGTGCAGTTTATTATCCACAACTGGAATAGAAATTGCTGGAAACAAAAACGGGAGGAATTCATTTTTATAATTCGGGGAAATTTAACGACATTTTTCTCAGCGTTTATTCAACGATTTTATGGGTCGTTAATCCTTTTGAATGGGTATTTAGAATTGAAGGGAGTGGAGGAATTTCAATTTTATTAGATACCCAGTGTTCTACGTCTAGAACAACCATTTGAATCGAATAACATCTAATAATTTTTTATTCAAATCAATTTTTCCTCCATTTAATGTTCAATTTCCATAAATTAATTTATCATCTACCATTAATAAATTTGTAGTCAACTTATAAAGAATTTCAATCGCATTGAAATTCCATTTTTTCGTTGCGGTGTCTCACAATGTTTAATTGAATCAGTCAATAATAAATATTTACTTAACGATCTCATGGAGCTGACAAGTGATATTTTTTTCCCATTGAAAATTGTATAATTAAAATTCCCGGGTTTTTTAATCCTTCGAAAAAAAGCCCGCGGCGTTGAAACGGAATTGATCGGCACGAGGTAGCCGATTAATCACGAGACAGTGATACCTTCTCACACTCCAATCAGCCTCAACTATCTCAAACATTATTACTCGATTGGATTGTAACTGAAACGGTTGCAAAGAGTCGCCCCGGGGTGCATTGTTGCGATATCATTTGTGTCTCTAATATTTTTCACAAGCGTTAACTTGCGCGTGCCTCTACCCCACCACCGATAACTTATCAGTTTCTCGCCAGAGGGCGCCATCACATTTTTTTTCTAATTAAAGAGTGATTGCCGATACCTTCGCATTTTTCGTGATTTGTGTAAATTTGTGGATCAGACCGATCTAAAAAAATATACGGTTCTCCGATTTTATCATTATTCAATGGCTGACATATGCCAGTCGTTCATCTAATAATTTATCAATAATAATAATCTGATAATAAGAATTATGTATTTTTATAAATATTCTTAGAAGTTTTGTGAATTTTTTGTTGTTCGTACGTTCATTCCCGTAAAATCTCTTAATTGCTGAGGGACAATGACGAAATGACGTGTTGCCAATACAACCGTGAGACATTAGACTGGTGGATCATTTTTACAAAGCAAATCGTAGAATTCACGTGATGGCTCATACAATTTCTCTTTCAACACACACTACCTATTGCGCTTCCCCTCCCTCGCGAATTACTGGTCGAACCGCCATTTCTACCTTCTTTCCTGTTTTTTTTAATTGGATATTTCTCTCGCTGTGTGGTAATTATTCGACCCGGCAAAGATACTGATAACGGCCGCTAAACTGCATGAAAAATTGACATTTTCGGATAAAATTAAAGGTCATAACCTACGACATGGAATTAAGTCCCGTAGGGCAATAATCCCTTTCGGTGTATAATTATATCAATGTAATATCTGTCGTTTTGGAAAATGAAAAATACCAATGAATTTGAAATTCCGAGTGTCGCATATTCTAATCTCCCTTTGTAAATCTAAGCTGGTAGTCACAACGATAATTGGCAGGATAAATATACCCGTTATTTTTTACACAATTTATTTATTTTTTTCTTCATCTCTTCGACTACTGCCCACCTTGACACGTTTATCGTGAATCGAAGGTAGTTGGTTGGGTATGTGACGACGGGGTGCGTTAATCTTGAATTCCCGGTGGACGGGTGCTGTGATTATAACAGCGAGGGGTACGCAGAGTCAACTACTTGTCAATTTCAGAATGTATCGCCTTCGCAGGAAGGATAATAGATAATAAGCCAGTGGGTTTGAAAAATCATTCAATACCAATTGTGATTGGTTAATTAAGAGCCGTTTTCCTCAAATTTTTTCATTCAGATTTTTAATTTTATGTGTGGAAATTGAATTGCATCATTGTTTATTTTTTTATCTCTAATTTCATTATTCTCCTTTAATTTCGTGAATTAAATAATTTTTATTAATATTATTATTATTGAATTATAATTGTTTATTCTCATCTCCCTTTAGTGTGCGTAAAGGGCTCGTTTTCTAAAGACTACTTTGCGCACCAGTATCATAATCTATCATTTCCGCACTTGTTGCGAAATACACTATTTCGTCACATGTGCCGAAAAGTGATTTTCCCGCACATTTTGAAGAAAAATATTGTACGCAGCTGGTGCATAAAATAATTTTTAGCATTTCACTTGTTGTGAAATGTACCATTTTACGACCGCTGCTACGTTCACCTCGTGCCGAAATGTGCTTTTACGTTAATTCGTAAATGTCTTTTCGTTGACTTGTAAAAGGAGAACGCACTCGTATCGAAATATACTATTCCCAGTGAACTTACCATTTCGTCGAGGCTCTTGAGGTCATTGGTGACAATTTGGGGCTGTGGCCCATAGATAAGACACGGCTCGTCCTGTTGCATCTCCCCATACTCATCGTCGCTCTCGTCATTGCCATCCCCATTTGACGCTTTATTCTCAGCAGCAATTTCCCTGTCAATCTGTCTCTCCATCTGTACAAGCATGGGGGCGAGCATTCCGAACTTGGCGCCGCGTCTTGCGACCTCGAGGAGGCACAGTATAACGTGTCTCTCATTTTTACGCATTATGAGGTCGTCGCTCTCGAATAGTAGACAGTCGATGATACCGAGACTGTTGCGACACCAGCTTATAAAGTTTGACACGTTGTCACGAGCGAAGAATGTACCGGCCTTGGCGTTTGGCAGGAAGGCCACATCGCTCAAATGGCTCATCGGTACGGCCAATGATGATGTTATCGAGCGAGTCATTATTTTCCGCGCCTGGCGGCGTGCTACGTAATCCGATGCTGCACGACGAACGTTGTTGGCGTGCTGAAACAAATTTATTTCACTAATTAATTCCACAGGCAAGCGTTAAACAGTTGCAAGTTGATTTAGCTAATATGTACGATTTCTATCAATATCTCGGAGCCGTAAAAACATTCGCTATTTTTCCATCGATCTTTTTTGTCGATCTCATTACGCTCTACAAAAAAAAATTGGAAATTGCTTTGGGACTGAGTGTACCCTTCGGATGAAATTTATTTTTCAGTTGCAGAAAGGGAGTTAGAGAAGATGTCAAAGGTGACAGGTGACGGATGGGGCCGGACGATATCGGTAAGTCAAACTCCTCAATTTTCTCTGATCTCTGATGTTGTGATGCCGGAGTCGAGACGGATATTCAACCGTCGTCTCCAAAATAATTAATAGCCGGCGTCCGACTGTTTTAGCCCGCTCGTTAGTATAAATAAGCCCGAGGGGATAAAGAGAAATTGTAGCAATAAAATCATCACAAAACCATCAAAACGAAAGTAAATGAACCGTGCAACGACGATTTTGCCAAATGAACGAATAAAAAAATTATAAAAAGAAAATAAAATTAAATAATGGAAGCGGTGGAGAATACATTCGTCAGGTGTATGTCGGCATGTAATAACATCGTTTTAATTACAAATTTATCCGACACACGATTGATGGGACTGAGTATTTCGTTAACGTTTGGTGGAGAGGAAAAAACTGGATGAAAAGGATGAATATTCCGGTGGAGTTGTGGTCCTGCGGTTTAATTTATTGTTGTTTTTTTTTTATGATGCTTGAAATACCCGGGACATGGTACCTCGAGTCTCGATAATTATTGCGTCTTGATTGATATTCAGCTCGCGATGTTGTCTCAGCAAATTTGAGATTCTCCTTCTATAGGTGTGCGACTTACATGTGTCTCACCTCGTGTTTCCCGGAATCTCTTCAGACTTTTGATTATCTAACAGATTGATCATCATTACCTCATGATATTCACGTGACAATTCTTGCTATTTCCTCGCTTTTACCGCAACTTTGGGGTGACAGTAATCGCTACTAATTAAATTAATCACCGGACAATTCCTATCACATATGACAAATTGATCAATAGTACTTCCAACTTTTTGAGTGGAATCATTTAAAGCTGTCTTAATTAATCGTCTCTTTAAACGCTATTTATCAATTAACAAAACCTCACGGTTTTAAGGAGTTTTTCACGATTTCCAATCGACTGTATCTTGCGATCGACAGAGTAAAAATTACGATGCATCATTCGATTCCGAAGATCTTCTTTCATTCTTCAAAATGAGAATTGACTTGTTGAAAGCCCATCGTTGAGTCCGGAGACGTGTGGAAATAATGACATCGCGTTTTCTTCGAGTGACGAGTAGACTTTTTGTCCGAACGGCCACAAGACATTCGCTCCATAAAATAGTCTCCCTGGGAAACGAAATATTTATGGGCAGCACGTGTGTCAGTGTTTGAATTTCCAAAATATACCCCCCGGATGGGATGTGCTTGAACCGGTTTTAGTTTCCTGGTGAGCAACAAATTTCCTACCGATTTCACTCTTCCTCGGTATATTGCATTGTTCGAATGAATTCCCTTCGTCGCATCTGTAAAACACGTGGGTGCCAGGTTCGACCACACAAATGGTGTTGACGATATTTCGATGCCCCACACCTTATATCCGGACCCCAGACACCCCGAGTATATCTTGTTCAACATCCGGTTGTACTTCAATGCAGAAGCTTTTATGTTGCTCTTCAAAACTACGGGGGCAAGAGAATACAGTCATTCACACGTTGACATCAATCACAAAATACATATAATTGAGTCCAATATATTAATATAGTGGATGCTAGGGTAACGTGAAGATCCATTAAAAATGATTCTATTTTTATTTTAAACATTTTCCTTTTTCTATATTTAAAATAATAAATACACTCGAAATTTCAATTGAAAAATGTCGAAATTTTCAACTTTTTAAATATTTATTAACGAAATGACGTGAAAATTCAGTGGAAAATTTTATTGACGAACCAGTAAATTTCTAAACGCAATTCTGATAATTTTCCATTTTTTTGTGATCTGAATTTTTATTCCTGCCCTATCGTATTTTGAATTATCCCAGAAAAAAACCTTTCAACGACCAATTTCTACTCAAACAATTGTTTTTTCTACAATGATGAAACGTTATATCTGCGGATCCTGTATCGAACAAAGGTACCGTGACAAAAATTATTTACCGACAATATTTATTTGAAACTCAGACATGACGAAGCGTGCCGAACGATGTGAGTATCAAATCTCGAATAGGAATAGGTCTTTGTCCCCAATGTGTGCGGATCCAATGGATTCAGCTTTGTTTGTTCGCATCAGTTTGCGTTTCAGTTATGCCACTGTGGCAACAACCCCTCCATTATATACGTTAGATTATCATTCAACCGGATAAACTTAAGCCCCAGGGTGCATTCTCCATTGACAATTTTGAATCACCAGAATGGGGAGAGTTTGGTTTCAGTTCCATGACGCAATTGTCCTTAACTTTGATTTCGGCAGATGGGTTTATTGACTTTCTAATGAATGTCACAAACTATCCGGAGGGGTTATCATTTTTTTAGACAGTACATTTTTATATCTACGCGACTACGAACGCGCGCTTATAAACAAATTACTTCTAAAATTTTATAGAAACACCTTAGAATGTTTAAACAATACATTCATATGAAATTTCCTGGTTATTATAATTCATATGTGAGTCAGGCATAAATAAATAATAGTATATACAAAAATGTTATCTCAATGCTAAAAATAATTTTTTTGTATACTTCAAAAGCAAAACAATCAAAAAGTACATCCCTATAATTTTTATATATTTATCTATACATATGAATAATAAGAAAAATTATTGAATTGAATAATGAATTTAATTATTTATATTCTTTATATTCTGATGTTACTTTCAGTCGGGGTCTAAGCTAGGCGAAATAAATCGGCAACGAAAAACGTTGGACTGTTTTAATGTAGGATTCGTCAGGCTTCTCAACATCTGGCGATTTTCGGGGATTTCTGTGTGCGAATTCGTCTCGAGGGGCTACTTCCATGTTTCAAAATGCGCAAGGGCCATTTTCATCAAGAACCATTTATCGTTGTACCATGATGACATTAAAGGGGTCACAGGCCACATTATAGTACATCCTGTCGTCGAATTCCCCCTCTGTATTGCAGATTATATTCATATGGGTCTCGTTTTGCTGCATCGGTTAAATAGCCACATGTGTTTATGCTGTTGAAAGGGTGTTGGAGGGAATAAAAGTGAGAGTGATTGCTGTGAGGAGCTGGTTTATGCCTTCATGGTCATTTCACGGGGTGTTGGGATGGTTAAGTATCATGTTAGCGATCGACGGTGGGAAGAATAGAGTATTTAGTCGGTGCTCATTGTTAGTAACAATTAACCGTTGCGTAAGGTTTTTTTTTTCTTTCATTGTCGTTAATTATTGTTGGGAACAAAAAAAAACATTGAAATTCCAGGGAGAGTTTTGTGGTTTTTAGGAGAGTGTTTCCAGAGAGATTATTTATTTATGAAAATTAGTGTCAAAATGGTCGTTTCCGGTTTTCGATGAATCGGTGGGACATGCTGTCGTGGAAACAGCTGATTGTTATGCTGTGTGGAACCAATTGATGCAGGTGTCATTACGATTTTCCGACGTTTGTGTCACGAGTGTCTCGTAATATTTAACGACTTTGTGTGTTAACCCTCCGATAACAACGAAGACACCATTCAGTGTAACAATGCACACGTACGTCGTACCGTTAGGTTCGAACAATGCGAGGGAAACACCTAGTTCTTGGTGAATAAAAATGAAGGTATGGGTGGGATCGATCCGGGTATAACTGGCAACATAACCTCCCTACAATAACCTTTGACCTGTACTCCGTGGCTATTTATTACTAATAATAATACAGAACTTATTGATGACACGAGTACGCGTACTCAGATATGACAAATTCACGGGGAAAAAGATACACATCATTGGAGTATATTCGATTTTCCATCCCGTATCGGTGAACAATTGGTTTTCTTACCATTCTATTATTTATTAAACACATATCAATCAAATAAATCAATCAAATAATATAGAAAACGGAATTCAAGTTCTGAAAAGTCTTGAAGAATCACCGAAATCAATTATTTTCTCAAGTGGTTTTCTGTGGAGATAGATTAATTGCACGCGATGCATGAGTACTTGGCGCGAGACACTACCGCATTTTTAAATTCTCAAAAAATGGACAAAGAATTCGCGCTGACGTCGAATCGTCATGCAAATAGAATTTCCTTGTGATTGTTCACAAGATAATTTTTATAATTCAATCACTTACGGCTAACAATAATTAATGACGAACATAATTCAGGAAAAAGGATAATTATGATAAACATAGTTATTATTGTTTTCATGAATAATGAGAATAATTTGGAAACCGTATTGAATATTATTTGGATTTTTTGTGTTTAGATCCGCGAGACAAGTGTTTTTTCTAGCAATATTGTTTTAACATCAGAAAATTGTTCAGTAAATAGTGAGGGTTCACTCCCGAACCGGACTGTCGTGTTATATTATGTTTCTTCATTCATCTGCTGTTTACTTCTCCTGTTCTTTCATATTCGAAATATTTATGTGGACGGGTGTGTCTGACTGGATCGCGATTGTTTGCTCAACCGCAGTCCTCTCCTATTCTCTCGTGCCTCTTTATTAAATTCCCTGGAATTCTCCCTCGTTTCTCTCTTTTTTTCTACTCTCTCTCTTTTTCGTTTTGATGTTCGGGGCGTTATGCAAATATACGTATCAACTGCATCTGGAAAATTTTTGCTGTCTCAATCACATGTTTACCATGCGCGGAGGTTATCATTAGACACTGGATAGACAGCTAGGCATTGCCAAGTTGCGATAAGCATTTAGTGGATTATATAAATCGATGACAACGAACGGGGATTCGTATCCGTGGGGGAGCACAGACCGGGTTCTGTTCAA